TGCAGAAAGAGTGTTCAATATTGTCATATCTGGAAATTTCACTATGGAAGTAGGAGTTTATTTTTTTGAACTATGGAAGTAGTTTATTTTTTTGAATAAATCAAAGTGCTCTAATAAGTCAAGTAATGTCCAAGAAAAGTATGTTACTTGCATTAATGAATGTTTTAAGAAATAATCTTAATTTATAGGCAGTCTGTTTCTTAGCAGTGTTCATGTATATATCTATTTGGTATGGTTTTGGTTTCTGTTGGTATTCCTTTGCCAGCTTCCAATCTTATATTAACATGATATGACCTTTGAGCTGCTACTGGGATGGAGGCCACTGATCCAGCTTCTGTTCATTTGCACCCCTAATCCTGAATTTACTTACCTAGTTTCTTATGTTGCCATTTGACCTTATATTACCTTCCTCTGCCATTGGGTAGTGTAAGAAGCAATGGATGATATGAAGGTAGTTCATGCTTTTGAAAATCTATTTCTGGAGAATTGATGCTGATCCTTCTTGTATGGTCTTGAGCTTTTTGTTTCATCCCATCAGGGCAGCACAAGATAGACTGGCACTACAGTAACTCCCATACCTAAGTATTAACTTAAAATATACAATTCAAAACAAGTTCCATTGGGTTCCAGAAGAATCACTTCCAAAGTCAAAAATGGAGTGTCAGCCATGATGTGATAGTAAAACAAAAAAGAATTGAATTCTGTCTTCCTGTGTGCTGTTCGTGCATTTTAGCATGTGGCAAGCAAATAGCTGGTGGTTGCAAGAATCCTCTATCGATGTTGATAACCCATGCTGAAAATCACAAGGTGGCAACTGTGTGCTTTGCAAGATGTTGACTAGGATGCCTCCATTACTACTGCTACTTTCCACAAAATATACGGTCGGAGCCCCAGTATCATTCTGCATATAGAAGAGTTCTTGCCCTGTTTGAAAGGGACTCCGGTTTGATAGAGATTGTTGGCGGGTGTGTATATGAGATCTTTTAGCAATTCATAACAAGGCATAACAAGAGAAAATTGCATTACTGTATTTACATGAGGTGTATCCTAGGAAGGGAAGAGAAAGTACCAGGTCAACTGTGTAAAAGATACTTGACAATTTTGACCGAAGTACACCGATTATAAGAACAAAATTACTGTATAAATATAAACTACAGTCGGGCCCCGCTTTACAAGTGCTCCGTATAACGACGAATCCGCTTAATGATGCCTTTTTGCGATCGCAAAAGCGATGCTTCCTGTGGGCAAAATCCGCTGTGCGATCATCGGTTTCCTGCTTCGGGAACTGATTTTTTGCATTACGAAAAATTATTTCATTCAAAGTATTGGAAGTAGTTTATGCACATATTCCCTCTTGCACTGTGTTTTTCTCTCTGTCAACAGTCCTAAGAGGTGTGTTAGGCTATCTGTAAGAGACTTCTCCAGTATCTCTTAATGAGCTTCATGATTGAGTTGAAGATTTGTATCCCTTTGGTTGGGTTCCAAAATGGCCGCTGGCTGAAGAAAATGGCCCCCTGCTGTTTTCTAGGACAGATTCCTCGCTAGACAGGCACCGGAAATGGCCGCTGTATGGAGGATCTTCGCTGGACGGTGAGTTTTAGCCCATTGGAACGCATTAACCGGGTTTTAATGCGTTTCAGTGGGTTTTTTATTTTCGCTTTACGATGTTTTCACTCTAGAGCGATTTCGCTGGAACAAATTAACATTGTTAAGAGAGGCACCACTGTATTCACTTCATTGTGAAATTATTAAACTAAAAACTAATTGCTTCACTTAATTCTATTTTTATCCTACCCGTCATCCACAGTAACTGGCTGGATAGCTCAGAGGTTTGGGTAACTGGCTGCTAAAGGTTTGGAGTTTGATTCCCCACGTTGTCTCCGTGGAGATGAGCTGGCCAGTGTAGCCTTGGGCAAGCTTCACAGACTCAGGGTACCTCCAGTAGAAGGGAATGCTAACCACTTTTGGTTGCTAACTACAGTGGTGCCCCGCTTGACGAGGATAACTTGTTCCAAGAAAATCGCTGTTAAGCGACATCGTCGTCAAGCAAAAAAAATCCCCATTGGAATGCATTGAAAACCGGTCAATGTGTTCCAATGGGGGAAATACCTCATTGTCCAGTGAAGATTGCCCATAGAGAACCGCCAATCAGCTGTTCTAATTTGCTGTAATGCGAAGCTTCGGAAAGCAGCCATTTTGAGAAGGGAAGGAAGCCATTTTGCAGAGCCGGAAAAAACATCATTTTGCGAACAAACAGTTCGTGAAGCAGGCTCCTAATCAACGTAAAGCGGATTTCCCCCATTGGAACCATCGTTTTGCGATCGTCAAGCAATCTCGACGTCATGCGGGGCACCACTGTACTTAGAAAAACTCTGGAAACGGTCACCATAAGTCATAATCGAATTGACAGCATACTATTACAGTGGTGCCCCGTATAGCGACGTTAATCCTTTCCAGGATTAACGTCGCTATACGGAAATATCGTAAAGCGAAATTAAAAAGCCCATTGAAACGCATTAAAACCTGGTTATTGCATTCCAATGGACTAAAAACTGGCAGGGACAGGGTGGGTGGGGGATCCCGAAGGCTTCCAGGCAAAAGCCTGGAAGCCTTCGGGACCCCTCCACCCTGTCCCCGCCGCCCCGCGCTGCCTTCCCTAGCCGAGATCGGACTCCCAGGAGCCCAATCCAGGCTGGGGAAAGCGGCGGGGGTGGCTGCCAGCGAAGGGGACAGGGTGGGTGGGAGACCCCTCCACCCTGTCCCCGCCGCCCCGCGCTGCC